TCCTCCTCCCAGGTGCAAAGCATTGCAAAAAAAAAAAAAAATGTCAGCGCTCTATAAATGAGCAAAACGAAGGACTTCAGTCCACGCTACCCTACTGTGTGCGTTCCATCGCCGCGACTTGACGCCGGTGAGCGCACACAGCAGGCATCCACGCGCGATGTATAGATATTTCCTAACATCCCAATAACAACACACACATGCAGTGCGGTCCCATCATAGCTCACCGTCAGCTGCTGGTCCTTAGACTCGCCTCCGTCCTTCATGGCTTGGGGGGTTAGCCGTACATGTCACAGCACTCAGCGGAAGGTTCAGGGTTGTATAGGGACAGGGACTGCCCAAGCAGGATTCAACACATCACCGGTCCTATGGAGAACATGTTTAGCAGGAGACCCCCGGCGGGCGTACACAGAGGGACCAGCTGTATGGATATTCATGGGTCTTCTAGGCTGCAAAGTGCAGGGGGGGAGAGATCTCTGTGCAGCAGCTCTGCTCTCTCCTTTATCTCTGCCCTCTTATGGATTCCCTGGAGATTTGGAAACCCAACACAACAAACCAACCCCAGCTGTCACTGCAGACCTCTGCGGCCCCATCTTGTGGCCACTTTGTGGTATTACAGCTGCTGGAAAAAGCGCCTGGCGAGACTGGATAAAATGTCACAATAATGTTTATTTAACCCCTTGAAGCCCCGGGTGTTACACCCCCCCTTCCTGTCCCGTACTACTGAGGTACTTTGTTAGGCCTTGTTCACACCAAGCGCGGAGCAGATCCAGAGCAGAGCAGGTGCAGACCGGATCAAAACTGTGTCCAATGTATTCCAATGGTATTTTTTGCTCCAGTTCACATCGCAGCGTGCAGTTGCAGAGCAGATCCAGAGCAGGTGAAAAAACTGCAGCAGGCCCTATTTTACCTGCTCTGGAACGCATCAAAAACGCACCAAAACCGCATGTCAATGCCTGGAACACACTGAAAGCCTATTTTAAGGCCCGGTTCACACCTGGGTGTTTTGTAGCGCGTTCGAACGCTTTGCAAAACGCTCAAACACCGAAATCCCATTATTTCCTATGGGTATGGTTCACACCTAGGCCGTATGAACGCGCTACAAAACGTCCTACGCCCAAAGAAGTACAGGAGCTTCCCTGGGGCCCTTTTGTCGCGTGTTTCCATTGGGATACTGCCAAGTAGCCCTCTCAAACGCGCGCCACGATTTGCGGTAAAAACGCGCGTCACGAAACACGCGACAAACGCGCATATTCGATACGCCTAGGTGTGAACCCAGCCTAAAGACTAGCGTGCGTGTGCAGAAACTTGACCGGATCTGCTCTGCATTTGGTGTGAACAAGGCCTTAGCTATTGATCAAAAGTCCAAGTATCCCATCGCACTTAGGGTTGCCACCTGTCCAGGATTCACCCGGACAGTCCGGGTTTTGAATGCTCTGTTCGGGTTTCATGGCAGCAGAAACCCGGACACAAGATGTCAGGCAGACAGGGACAACCAAAATAAAGATAGGGGCTACTGGCCCCCCACTGAAAATATTCTCTACTGTGATATTTACATATGAATGGGTGACGCTATTTAGATATGAACACGCCACGACTAATTTTCCCCAAAAATTGTCTGCGCGTCTCTAGAGTGTTCGGGTTTCGCTTGAAGAAAAGGTGGCAAGCCTAATCGCACTCCTGACCGGAAAATGACCATGCAGCAGGGCGGGTGCAGCAGCAACAACTGATGCCTCCGTCAAAAACGTACAAAATAATAAAGTCACCGGCACTCCCAAGTATTCCAAGTACCGGTATTACAGAGAGTGTTTGCCTGAGGAAGGGGCCGCAGGGTCCCGAAACGTTGCTACAGGTGTTTTCACTTGGGTCAATAAACTTATTGACTTGAATACTTGGAGTGCCGGTGACTTTATCATTTTGTTGTTATCTGTTGAGTCGTACAACACCGCACAAATATAAAGCGGTATGTTTTATAATATAAATAAAAAGTATATGTATATATATATATACACACACTGAGTTTATGTAAAACAACTGTGGTATGGTGTGGCAATCCCCCTGTAGAATTGGGTGCTATGACCTACCCAGGTCTCTAAGCCAGAAGGGCTGAGAGGTGTCAGGAAGCGAGGGATGGTCTGGATTCTGGTTGGGATCCTGGAACCGGGTGGTTTCAAAGTGATCCAGGAGGGAAGAAAACTCCGGTCCGGGGTCCAGGGTTTAGCAGTGACCAGCACCTGATGATTACACAGGTGTGCACAGTCCTTAGGGCCTGTTCACA